AAGGGAAAGAAAGAAAGCCAAAATCAACCAGATGAGGCTGAGTATGCTCTGATACGGAACGAACGAACACACAGAGCCATTGTTCCCTCCCCACCTACTCGCATTTCTACCTAACATAACCTAACCGACGTCAGTTCCAGTCTTATCATAGGGCCTTTTTTTAATTTCCGCAGTTCATCCATGGATTGCCTCCCTGACCGAATGACGATGTTAAACCGACTGTCGATCAGCAAGCAGTGATCAACGCTGATTTGGCCATTCTTCCATTCCCATTCATGACCCTCATTTCCCTCACCCCCCCGAATTATTCCTTCTCAAATTTCTCTGCCGTGCTGGGAAGTTTAATATCAGATGTTCTTGTTCTGGCAGACGAAGGAGAATTCGACCATTTTGATCACTTGACCGATTTCTTCACCGAGTCATGGATATAGAATAGATTCCTATCTGAATGAATGAATGAATGACTATGATGAATGAAGGAAATGACTTGACTTGACTCTCTCTCTACCCAACCCCAACCACTACAACCCTATCACTACATAGCCCCCAACTCCCAAGATACGAAAACATAAAATAAAGTAAAAGAAAAAATAAACCAAGATAAACGCTCCGGCACTAGTTGCATGTGGCTTCAAGCCATACCTTCAAAATTTGAATGCCTGGGGGACCCAAGAACCCGAACTAGGGGAAACCTTGGCACGGCATTTTTCCCCTTTCCCCTTCCATTTCCATTCCCTGATTTTCCCACCTTAAAATGGGTTCTCCGGAGAACTGGGACGACGACGGATGTTTTTGTTGGCTAGGGTTTATCGTAGGGTGGTTGGAGTGGGGACCGGGGGAATATTGATAGGTTGGTTTCATCGTGACTATAACATACCTTACTCGATGTACTCCCCTGTCGGTAGGTACTTAGTGAGATATTCATCGATCGAGATCAGTTAGGTGTGTGGCGTGTGTGATGTCCTGTCTGTTTCATGGGATGCTGAGTGGTCAGCGAAATGTCTGTCGAGAGTATCCAGCGAATATGCCCGCTCAAGGTGGGCTATTTTGGGTTCGGCCGAGTTGCATTGACAGACCGTCAAGTAGGGGAGGAACCCAGAGGTATGTCCTGCCCAGGTGGTCGTTCATACATGTCTAAAAGGCTGTACCACTTCATAGCCCGTTCAAATCCCGTACTTTTACCCCATTGAATGACTACGACTCTGCAGCATTGGCCCTTGCTCCGGAACACCAATTTGCTTCCGACATGCAGAAGGGATGTGTCTGTATGTCCGATCATCGACCCCGGTTCTTGGGACAGGCTCGTGTGTTCTGAATACATCATCCGACTGCCTTCACCGGAGGGGATCCGTTTACCTTGCGTGGAATACGAGTAAAGTTTGTCCGACAAGAGACCTGGTGATCAAAGAGAAGCCTTTTTACCGGTCTACATGAGCAAGGTAATGGGTCTCTGGTCTCCCTTGATCCTAGACCAGGTGGCCTAAGCTGGTCCAAGATGTAACAGGAAGAATGCAAAAAGTATACATTGGACCAATACTAGCAAGGAAATCATCATGGCATCCGCGAGTTCGGTCTTTCACTTCCGATAGACCCAGCCCTTGCGTTGGCTACCCTGGCCAACTCCATCAACGCCGGGCCATATAACTCAGACCAAACACCAAAACATAGCCAATCGTAAGAATGCTCCCAAATAATTTATACAACGCAACACACGACAATGATTCCCATCCAGTGCCCAAATTTAGGCAGCATCGGGATGAGATGCACTCATTTTCCAATGGTACAAGGCTCGCAGGACAGCTACACCTCCAGATTGCGTCTCCACAGTCCTCCCGCGGCCTCGGTCGTTATAATCCGTCTGATGCAGCCCAAGAGCAATTGCATCGCCAGTCGAACGTGTCTGGCCGGGTGCATATGCGGGGTATATTGGTCTCTCCACTCCAAATCTGGAATCCCCGGATGAACGGGATGTCCCTTGAAGTGGCTGAGAGCCTTGTGCGTGGGCGCCGTAGTTCCGGTAGTCAATCGCATCCGGGGGCAGAGGCTTTCGTAGATGAGAGCGTGATTAGTTTCACCGTATCGCCTGCCCCACCACATGCCAAACTTGCCGTCCTTGTCTCGAGTCATCAAAGCGGCCTCGGCATTGTGTTCGATCCAAGGCCGATATTTGCGGCACTGTGCCTGATGCCAATCATGGATGTACTCCCAGTCGCTGCCCGACCCCGTCGTCTGGTTCGCACTCGCCAGGAAGCGTTCCTCTTGTGGACGGATAGGTCGACAAAATTCAGTGAGATGATTGAAGAATATACCCTTGAATGTTTGTCCATCTTGAGAACAGCCGCCCCCAGAGTCGCATGCGTCCTCCAAGACGCCTCCACGGCCGAGGCCGGCCCACTCCTGACTTTTCATATTGTGCCAGCCTGTAGCGTTGATAACTCTGCGGACAAGTTCATGCCCATCGTATAAGTACTGCCATGAAGCAGTGGCCAGCCAGAGGCCCCTCAGCCCGCTGAGGATCACTCCTTGATTATACGTGTATACCATCTTATTTAGGACGTCACAGTTGCGGGTGCCGGGCTCTTCTGCGCTCTTCCACCCACTGACATGGAAACCATCCCCATAAAGACCCCCAATCCCCGTCATATTCGAGGCATTGAGCCATTTGTACCCCTCGACCGCAGCCTGCAGATGAGCGGGGTGGTGAGGATAACCATCCGACCATACTTGATCGTCAACACTGTTTGGTACGAAGGGTGAGTCAATCGCATCACCCGGGAAATAGAGATACATCGCAATGCTAGCCGATATATACAGTTCGTTCGTTATGGCGTTTTTATAAGGCGTTAGACGCGGGTTCCAAATCATTCCACCTCCGCAGAGGGAGATGTCCCATCCACCGGACGCAAGTCCATAGAAGAGCCTCGCTCTATGGGCAGCCGGAGTACGGAACTGAGCCCCATGCCAGTGGTGGTTCCTGGTTAGATTGGACCCTGAAGGGCCGTCAAAGTGCAAATCGGAGTGCAATACCTGCAGATTGAGGTTTTCTAACCAGCCCAGCACAACCCACAGCATATCGTCATAGGCCTGAGTTCTCACTGCAAAGGCATCTTCACCAAAATAGAATGCTACGGTCTGGTCAAAGAAGTGGTTGATTAGGTTCTCGAAGGATAAAGAGCGATGCTTGACAGTTGAGGCATCGGTATCTGGGAAAATACTAGACGAGACATCTTCCGTGGAAGAAGACAATGAGGCGACTGAGGCCGAGAGATGTGTACCGATCACGGCAGCAGTCCAATCGATACTAGAGGGCCAAGTACCTTGCCATAGTTCAAAGTAGGTGTCCTGCATTACATTCAAGGCATGAAGCAAATCTTGCAGCGTGCGGCCGATGGATTCGCTGGACTCGGGGGCCAATTCCGAGGGGGACAGTTTCGATTGCCTTGACGGTGATCTGGCTGGTGCATCAAGTACGAGTGGTGTTTCTGGAGGTGGTGCCAGTATGTCTTGCGACCGCAGCGCCAGCGCATGGGTACGACATAGAAGCATGGATATGCAAATGAATCTAAGAATGTATGCGAATGCGGCCATGGTTCCTGTATTCTATATCTTTCCGGTCTTCTTTGAAACTCCCGGTGCGAAAAAAAATATTGTATAGTAGTCAGTCAATTAAAGAAGGCCAACTGACCGGGGGACCTCGACTAGAGGAACCCCCCACCAATTAAAGATGCTTCTCAATGCAAGATGGAGAACCCTCGGACGGGGGGACGAGAACCTCAAATAGTAAGGGAAAGAAAGAGAGCGTCCTGCGGCCAGTGGAGTCAAGAGAGAAAAACAATATTCATATCATGTTTTTCCCAGTTGTACACGACGAGGCCGCACTCGTCATAGTCGAAGAAGTCTGCATAGGAAGAGGAAAGAAGGAAGTCGGGCAGTGCGGGGGTTAAGTTGGCACTTAATTCAATCTACGGAAGGTCCAGCGGGGACCAACCCGGCGCTTTTATACCCTAACTGATCCTTCTCTGGAATGCGTGCCGTTTTTGGAAACTCGGGTAGGGTATGATTGTTTCTACTGACATGTAGTAGTGCAGGGTACTATTGAATGGAATTCCTCTAATTCTACTACCTTCAATAAAGAAAAGACCTTCTACAAACCCTTGTGGTTTCTTGACATGGTGTCACGCGCCCCCTGGGAAACAAGATCATGAGTCCGAACACAGTCTTCTGATATCGTCTTCGTATTCCCAATTGACATGCACTACCCCACGTATCATGATCTAGGACAGTAGGAATGGAACAGTAGCTGAACTTTACAGGATCAGCCGACCTTCTAAATCGATGCGCTAGTTGCAACTACTACCCAATTCTCTATTAAATTGGTCCATTGACGCACTAACACACAAGTATGGAGCCAAAAGCAAGTATAGAACGACAAAGGCTGCACGGATCTTTGTATACCATGCGTTATCACGCGGTATCAACTAATCAAATCTTAGATATCCTAGTAATGTGAAATCAAAATCATGGGAGTTTTATCTGTACCCCATGTTAGCAAGCGATCGGGTATCTTCCTCAAGCGCGCGGTCGTACCGGATTGCTATTAGATCAAGACGCCAGCATGTATCTCTTTGGGTAACCATCCTATCAAACGACGAGCCTGTGAGGCCCCACAAGAGATAATGCTGGCCAGAAGCACATTCGCCCCAGTAATCAATGCTCGTCGGAGCGGTGCGTAGAAGTTGAAACCAGAACCAACGTCTTATGAATCTCAACCGTGGCATGACCCTCTCATGAAAAACCGACGCAGGCGAACTGGGCATGTAGAAAACAGAAAGGGCACCATGCCGGGCCTGTATCAAGCCACGTATTCCGGAAAAATGGATCTAAAAAAGGAGTCGACAGAACCAATCCGAATGATATCGCTTACTCCCTCTCATCAGCGCCGGGGCTGCGACTCCTCTCGCGACTCCTGCTGCGGCCTCGTCCACCACGACCACCACCTCTTTGCCCACCAGCCTTGCCTTTGTTCGAGGGAGGCGGCCGGACGAATGCATAGTCAACTTGAATTGTCTGGTCGAGCAACTTGGTTCCGTTCAAGTTCTTGATGGCTTCTGTAGCTTCGGGCAGAGTGGAATATTCGATCAAGGCGTATCCCTGCGGTAATTTACGGTCAATATCTCTCCATTTTCATCTTGATATCAGCCGTATAAATAAACGATGGAACTCAAGCGGAGCAAAATCCATGTAAATATCAACCTACCTTCACATAACCCGTCCGGCGATCAAGGTTCAAGTTGAAGTTTTTAATCTCTCCATACTCCGCAAACAGATCGGTCACGTCTTCCTCTGATGCTTCTTCGTGGATGTTGGTGGCGATCACAATCCATCCTTCGATACTGCGCACTGCAACAGCCCCGGCCTGGGTTCGTGGCTCGAAGCCGCCGCCAGATTGCGCCGGGGCTTCCTCCTGCTCATGCGAAACTGGCGGATCTACCTCCATTTCTCCGGACATGGTGGCGTAAGAGGGGTAATAATTGGTAGAGGTTTGTAGATCAAAAAGGCTGCCACGAGAAGAAAAGCACAAAGCGAGTTCCGGCTTGACGAAATCGTCCACAGTGCCTTGGGTCGCGGAAGCTTGGGAGCGATCATTCATTGCCAGAGGTTAGCTCGCGGTGTGCTTATGTAAGCGCGTTATCAGCCTGATCGATGGGAACTATGGCTAGAACACAGCAGCAACATGTTTCTAAAATCTATGACTTGTAAAGGAGTATTTTCATTTCTCACGGCGATAAAGAATGCAGTACACTAAATGGTACTCTAATTATGTGATACGAAGCAAGTTTAACCCGATCAGAGACTCCCAATATGTCTTCCAACCAAAACTGATCATGCAGCACATTTTCACTATCCATTGTAGGATGAACAAAGATCTGTACAGTATATAATAACAACATTTGGAGATGCTATAACTGCGTATCTACTGTAATAGACAGAAGAGACAAAGCAGGGGACATATGACTACTGTATGGTCGTGAGAGAATAAAGCTCCCCAAACATTGCTAGCACGAAGCCGTAAAATTTCACTTGGCCTGGGTAGCCCAGAATACTATGCAAAACTCAGTTAAGTGACAGGTGCTCCAGTAGCCTATATCTTTCAGACACAAGTCATATAGCCCTTGGTTACCGACTAAGGCATACTAGTACCCGGTAAAAGCAGAGAAACAGAGTGCATTATCGTGAGGGCTCTAGTCCTCATTCACCGGAGTAACCCTATGCCCAGTCTCTTGCAAGCAATCAATGAGTGAATAAAAGCTAGCTGCCCTTCACTCGGCCCATGTTGTGTTTCTACTAGTAGTGATACCATCACACAATGTGCTTCTTCACAAAGATCATACTCATGGCAGTATCCTCTTGTCCAAGAGCAAGGACACACTCATTGAGATTTCCAGAGCCCAGAAACCAAGATGCGCTGGTAAGCTTTGAATAATTGCCAGTCAAGACGTCCAAGCTCTGATAAACCCTCTTTTGCACGTCTAGTGACGATCCAGAATGTGGCTGTCAGCCTTATCCCAGGAAGAACAGAAAGGTTGAGGTAGTATTGTACGGCGACCAGCCTGGCCAGTTTCGTCTACTTAATCAGCAAGGCTCGAGTATCGATGTGATCTTTGACCCAGTTGGGAACGCCATGATCTTGCGCGAGATAATCAATGACCCCACGAGGAAGTACACGTTTTGGAATTTTAGTGTGCAACTCGACGCCGCAAACTTGCATTTCAGGAACCTAGAAGGGCTTGCCGATGGCTCTCTGATACTCACTGTTCGGATACGAAGCTCGGCATGTACCGTGAGAGGTAGTATGATGTCGGTGAAGGAGAAGATTTCTGGATTTGCGCCTCCTCGTCTTGAAAGCAAATTGTATAACGACCTTTACCTGTGCGACTGGCCGCGGCAAACGCTTCAGTTGTTCCTCCCAGAAGAGAGGCTCGTGGAATGGAAAACAGTAGCATTGATCCTCAAGTCGTTTGGAAGAATCACAGCAGACCAGTGGTCTGATATGGTGTGGATGGAGAACAGGCCATCTGTTGCTGGTCTGAATTGGAGAGCCATTGAGAAGGATATTAAGATCTACAAGAACAGATTGGTCGTGCCGAAAGCTAAGGGGAAGCAGACATACGTTATTGGTAAAGAAAATGATATCACCTTACTGCAACAGGACCCTGCTATTGACTAATCTACTTGGATCCTCGTGGCATCCCCTAAGGCCAACTCAATATATCAAGCAGTCTGTGCAGATGTCCTGGGATTTGATATGGCTTGTGACCCACAGTTACTAGGTGTTTGTATACTAGACTTACAAACAGAATCGTCACAAGATAACCCTCTGAAAAGTGACAGAACAAAGAGCTTCAGGAAATTGTGATAACCCTCTAGAGCTCTTATAGACTCTAAGTCAATGACATAGATAGGCATAGGCTCTCCATGGATAAGGGGAAGCCTGGGGCGCATTCCCCGACTGACCTTATGCACGAGAGTGGGCTTTATAGGTATGAGCGTGCCAATGTGTCTTCTGTGGACTTTAGGCAGACCTTCAAATGATTTTGTTCCTAGTAGGCTGGTTTGCTGGTTTGCTGGGCGGATGAGGTCTGTTTCGAGTTTTTTGGCGTTGACACACTTGGTTGCGTTTGTACTGCGAGCTGTGGTATGGTCAGAAATTACTAGATGCTTGTCTTAAAGCTGTATTTTGAGAGCGTCTTCCTAGGTTACATATGCATAGCTGTGAGCTGCACATACACGTCTTTCGATTCAAGCGAGAAGATGGCGTCTACACAGAAAGTAAACAACCATACTATTTCTGACGAAGAAGTGAAGGCCGAACTACGCAATGACTTATTACCTCAACTAGCATCGGGAGCTCTCATTTTCTTTTCGTTTCAAATAAATTTTTATTTCTCAGGTGGAGCGGAGATAAATATTTCCATCTCTAGACGTCTGAAATGAAATCCAGATATCTTTGCTGTGACGTTATGCCAAATTGATTATAGAATCGGTTTGCCGACCCTGCGATTCAACACAAGTGGCTAAATTGTCTCACAGAATGAATTATATATGTGAGGCAGGCGATGAGCAGCTACCAGACAGCTACCCCATCCGAATATAATACATAAGGAAGTCAACGAATTGCGAAAAAAGCGAGACCGAATTGAATTCACTTTCCTCCAAGATTATCTCCCAGCGCCACGGCTTCTGGTTGTTGAGTGAGATGAAACCAACGTTTCATTTCGTGTCATTTGTGGCCTTGTCGTTGATCAGAGTTTGACCAGTTTAGTTAGACGTCTCTTGATGCAGCAGCTTATTTTCGGTTGTTGCGCTGCATGGCCAAAATCTGGACCATACGGATGAAGATGTTGATGAAGTCAAGCTCAAGGCTGATGCTCTCGTTGACAACATCCCTCCGGATAAGGCCCCTCTGAGCCATACGAGAGTGGTGCAGGACCTTCTGCACATCGTAGAGAGTGAAACCACCGAAAACAGCAAGACCTCCATACAGCCAGATCTTCTCAGACCACATCAAAGTGCGGGTGGCGGTAGCGGGGAGGACAAGAGGAGCGAGACCAGAAAGAGCAACGATGGTCACACCGGCGAGCAGGGGAGCACCAAGGTACAGGTACTTGTCCTGCTTAGCAGTAGCACCGACAAAAGCAATAGAGCCCATCATTCCAACAGTGTAAAGACCAGCACGAGCAAGCAGAGCGGGGTGCATGAACATCAAAGGCGAGAGGAGGGCTGCCTGGGTGACGTTGAAGGCGGTCCAGAGACCGTACTTAGCCAAGTAGCTGGGTGTCTGTTAGAGAGATTCTCTGCAATACAGATCAGGCAGATAAGAGAATAAAGACTTACTTGTCGGGAGAAGTGTAGTAAGTACCATACATGGTTCCGATGCTTCCAACCAGGCCTAGACCAGCGACAAGCCAAGGGTTCATGGCCATCAAACGGTAAGACCATCCGTTCATGTGCATAGCGCGAGCAGCAATACCAATAATAGCGATACCAAGTCCAGTGTGCATGAAAGTCTCGTTCAGGTAGCTGCGCTCGTAGGGAGCCATGCCACCATCCTCTCTAGTTTCGCGGTTGAAGATCATGTTGGTTGCCAGGATTGTTCCACCGACGATGGCGGCGCCATACAGCAGTCGCTGAGTGAGATTGCCGCCCTGAGCGGCACCGTAGGTAGGTTGCATGTAGGTACGACGGAAGGCATTCTGGAAGGTCTGTCTAGATTTCGCAAAGATCGAGGAAGTGGCCGGGCCGAGAGGCTTGGATTGAGATGGCTTGAAAGGTGAGTTATGGAAGAATCGAGCAGTGTTGGCAGTCTTAGGGACTTGACGCAGCGCCGATGGAACGGCGAATGGACGCCGTAAAAAGAACGCCATGGTTAAAATGGGATGGCGAAGTTGATGGTTGATGATGGCGGTTTAGCGTCGAAGGAGATGCAGCTATTTAAAAGCCGCGGGCCGGTGATATCAGCATTTCAGCTTTTCCGGATTAGGAGTGTTTGCTCCCGTACCTCATGCATGTTTGCTCCTTTCACTGGTGCTAACCCGAAAGTTCGAGAAGTGGAATCACGTGTGACTCACAGCTTAGTAACGGGAGTCGGCGATAACCAGGTTCCATTCTCCGGTATCATAGTGGGGGAGGGGGAAAAAGAGCTGCAGTTTTGCCGATACGGACATTGCATATCCCCGATTTTCTTATTCCCTTGATCTCTACTGCAAAGAGGTGGAACTGGAACTACCTTTACTAATTGACCGTGATTCTCAACATCTATTGCCCCATTGTCGGCTTTTAGAGCGTCAACGCGCATAACTATCAGCTCATCATGTCTTCAACATTAGAAACCATTAACCTGCCCCATCTCCCTTCTTCTCTGCCTGTGCATGTAGCTCTCTACCGAGACATTCAGAATGCCCCATTTCTTCGACAGCAGCTCATCTCCGGGAACTCGGACTTCGAATATGCGTTCATTGATGCAAGCATGGTATGGCATCGATGTCAAGAAAGCTCGCTAAAGAAATCAAGGACCCTGACCACGACATGCAGGTTCTCTCGAAAGCGCACGTTTCGTCCGCAATTTTCAGGGCAGTAAATGACTATCTCAATGAGCGTCTCAAGTCTCGTAATGTCCACTCGGAGATTGTGTTCTCTTTTAGTCCCACGAACAATGTGGGTTGATTTGTAGCTGATAACTCGATGCCCCAAGAGCTAACAGCTTGCAGATTGCCGACTCCTTCCGGAAATTCGGTATCAGCGACTCAACGAAAGATTTGTTGGTGGTAAAGGTGTCTATAACACCGGAAATTACCCATGATTCAGTAGCGACACATCTGGCACAATCCGTCGAAGGCTCCCCTGTGCCCTTCAATGACGAGACTCTGTCCGAGATCGCAGATGTTGCAAAAATCAAGAAGGCCTACAAATTGGGAGCCCTGCCTTCTGCCCCTGCGGGTCAAGTGAACGGTGCTGGAAACAGTGATAGCATGCGACTCGAAAATTCCATTATCGGTGCGATTGCCCTGCGAGGGGCGACTTGATTGCTTGATGGTCTCCAACTTCCCACGTCGACCTGGAGTCCATATAAGTGACCTCAGGTCGAACGACTTCCAATACAATAGGCTCCATCTCGCCTGGTTGACTTCTTTCGACGAGACTATGGGCAATGGTGCCGAACGCAGGCGGCCAAGCGAGGTTAGTGGATGAGTACTCCACTACAACACAAGTTTTGGCTCTCGCTCCCTTGACACAGGCGCGAATGGCGCTATGCCTCTGAGCAACATTCGTGTTCAAATATTATATTATCAGTGACTGAATGATGTGTCGCCTTGGAACGCCTATTCACGATATATACTACACAACACTGAAAGAGCTGATCTCCCAATACTGAGACTTGTATCTAACGCACATTATTCAAGAATATACTAGATCCTTAAAACAGCCTTCAGTGGCAGTTAAGAGCCCCCCGTAGATCAAATACAAACGAATGCAAACATTCGCTGTTAGGAACCGGGAATACAGTCGGTTGCCCTGCCCACTGATAAATAACTCCCAAAGCGGTAATTCAGCAACTTGTGCCAAGACGAACCCGTTCAAGCGTTCTCTTTCCAACAATTACTCGACAACTTTGACATACATCTCAACTGTACTTGCCGACATGGATTATCAGTGAAAAGGAATACGGAGAATTTGCGGGAGCTTCATATTGGTGGATTGTCTGCGCCCATGCCAATCGCTTATTCCTACAAAGCACAGCGAATTACGGTAGCTCGCCACCATGAGCGCCGCGGCGGACGTTATCGTCCTCTCTTCATCCCCAGATTGCATGCCCAAAGGCTCTCCAGCGCAGCCTGTTCATGATCCCGTGAAGCTGTTCGATTTGTCCCCGCCAAGTTCATCCCCCTCTCCGGTACGATCGCCATCAGAGTTATTTCAACTTCCTACGCGCTCCAGGTTTTTCGAGGTTGAAACCCCATCACGGAATAAGGAAAACAAGACACCCAAGGAACCGCCGGCCAGAAAGCTTCATTCTAGCTTGAAATCGAAAAGCACTTCCTTAGAGGACAAACCAAAGCGGAGGGGGAGAAAGCCCGCAAGTGAGTCGCAGACGGTACTTAGTGGTCCGGGGCCCGCTGGCCTAGCACAAGAGGGCACGCCGGAGAAAACTACAGGCGCCAGGACGAAGCGCGTAGATAACGAGGGCAAGCGTGGAAAAGCTGCGAACAAGATCATAACAGGGAGGGTTGCGAAGTCTGGCAATGCGCAGACTAAATCGCTCCAGGAGAAGATTATGGATGTGTCGACCCCGAAAGCAGTATCGCAATCGAAACCTTCCGGCGAGGCTGTTGATCTGGGCAACGATGGACTACAATTAGAAGCTGCTGTGAAGCGGAGAATGGATTGGACGCCCACTAAGGATACCACTGTGCAAACGGTAGGGTTGAGTCGGGAGGAAGTGGCAGAAGCCAACCCCAAAAGTTTTGGTGGCCTGTTATCTGAGTACAGCTTCAGTGATGTTTCTTCAGCTTGCAGTGATGGTAGGAACTTTGGGAATGACGGCCCAACGAAGCGTAGACGTATAGAGGTATGGCGTATATTATCCATCTCGCCCGGCGTTTCAAGCTAATACTCATGCTCGAACAGCTCGTGGACTCCAGGTTATTTGGCTCATCGAAACCAGTGTCGCCTGATATCGACGATATAAACCTCACTGACGATAATCAGCGAAAACAGCCAGAGCCCATGCAAAAACAGAAGAAACAGACTAAGAAATTCACGAGCCTTACAGCTCGTGTAACAGCAAATTATCTCAATGATTCCCATGAAGGATCGGATTCGCCAAGCAAAGAAATCACTACTTCTCGAGAAAGTTCAGCAACTGCAAGAACTAAGGGCTCGAAAAGCAAAGGGAAAGCCGTCTCAAAAACCAAGGAGCCTGAATTCATAGTTCTTTCACCTGAAGAAGCCACAAAATCTCTAGAAAAACAGGAACTCGTTTTCGGAACTTGTAGTCAGTTAGAGCGAGAGGATTCTCCGACCTCACTAAAGGAGCTACAGGCAGCCATCAGTGAGTCGGAGAGGTATGCTATGGCAGAGCCTTCTCCTCTGAGTTCAACACTATGTGCAACACCCACATCGCGTTTTACTACTGCAAGAGGTCTATGGTCTGTTGCAGCCAGAGATCTAGAAGGGTCATTGATTCGGCAGACAGAAGTTGTGGACCTGGTGGATACGCCTGAGCCTGCTAAGATGACGACCTCGATCAACGATACCCGTAATGAGAAGGTGTTGGAGGATGCTAACATTGTTACTCTTGGAGAACCATCTGATTTGCCCCGGAGTGAGGCTCCTAGGCTCAAAGCTATCCCAGCTGCGAGAAAAGAACCATACCCGGTGCCTGGTATACCCACGACGAAGGCTAGCGACAAACCTAAGGAAACCACCTCACAACATTCTGAGCCACAACCTGAAATGCCGCATTACAGCGGTTTCACCGATGCTAAATTATCGAAACAGGTTGCCTCGTACGGTTTCAAGCCCTTGAAAAACCGAAAGAAAATGATCGAACTTCTCCAAAAATGCTGGGAGTCCAAGTATGGTAAAAGCACAACCTCAGAAACTCATGCTGGCTCTCAAACCACATCCACAGAACCAACTCCCGAAATCACCTCTTCCGAATCCAAGACATCTCAGAAACAGTCACGCAAAACCACCAACTCGCGAAAGACAACCACAAAGTCCAGAAAAACACCATCAACCAACGACACTATCACAGCCCCAAGCACTCAATCAAAACCAACCCAAGCACCACCAACATACTCCTTCATCAACGTCGAAGAAATCCAAGACTCAGAAGAAGAAACCCTACCTTCACCCTTCCGAGTCCAAAACCGATATACATTCCAACCCCCCGAGACCCAACAAGCCTTACCCGTCTCAAAAACACTATGTAGCCCATCCCGCAGCAAACCCCGTACCAACAAGTTGACGACTAATAATGGCGCAAATCCTGATCAGAAACAACCAGAACTAACCGACCAGATCCTCAAGGCCATGCACGCACAGCCAGCGGGAACGCCTGGTCGTCCGAGCTGGCACGAGAAGATCCTCCTGTATGACCCTATCATCCTCGAGGATTTCGCCACCTGGTTGAACACCGAGGGTCTAGGCCTCGTTGGCGAGGACCGGGAAGTCGGTGCCGGGTTCTTGAGAAAATGGTGTGAGAGTCGGGGGATCTGCTGTTGCCATCGGTGAGCTTCCGTGAGCAGCGAACGTCAAATATATATGTCTTGGTTTAGCCGCACTATTTTTACTATTTTGCCTTTCTGGAAGCCAATGTCTAGCATCGGAGACGTTTTTGGGAGCAGATGGAAGCAAGGCAGTGTTTCTTGGGCGTATGGAGGTTTTCCTGGAGTTTGGCATATTTATCATTGGAGATACCCTTTTATAGAATTTTATACTTGTGGGTGAAGCCAAAAAGCCTACACAACTAAATACAATCTAGGTTACTGCATATTCGCAAAGATTTTATCTCTATTTCTGAGATTCCGAAGAATAGCCCTTTCTTTTCCTCAACAGACCGACTGAACCTGATCATAAAACTACAGTAATATACAAATAACCATCGAAATTAATTTGTACAGCAGAAATCATAGTAAAAGAAATAAGTATAAGCGGTATAAAATGGAAGAAAGATACAAGATCCCATCACAAGATCCCCGCTCAAGATAACACGAGAGGGGTACGAAAAGACCCCAGTCCAGATTCACTCCTCATATAATTCGTTGTCTTCTGCTGACTGTTGCAAAGAAGGGGCATCCTCAGTCTGCGGGTTGTCGTAGACGTAGGATGAGTCAGGTTTAACCGGATGAGCTCCCTGGGCAATGACCTGTGCAGGAGGAGAAGTATAGTAACCTATCTGGTTGTTATGAAGTTGTTGGATCTGCAGCGGCGCAGGATATTGCGAGGGAAAGGTTTGCAAAGGCGGAAGCCCTTGACCCAGTGGGGGATTAAAAACACTGTACTGGGGAGTGGGGAGCCCGTGAGGCATTCCATCCATCTGGCCGTCGAGGGGTTGGTGAAACCGCTCACGGTAAGAATTAACGGCTGTGTCTTGATGGAGAGTATCTGGTTGGAGACGGCCAATTTGGGGGTAATTAGTCAGTGAACCAAGTCCTTCTCCATTCTGTTGCGGATGATAGCTAGGAGCCGTTTGTGACGGACCACTGACAACGGTGTCTAGGCCAGGATGGTTCAATTGATTAAGATCCAAGCTTCTAGCTGCCGGAACTTGCGCGGTGCCTTTCCCGCTGTAGTCCCTGCGGTGTTCTGTGCCTACGAGGCTTGGCCAGGAAGTATAGGTAGGAAAGGTCGGCAGAGAGGAAAAGTTTCCCCAAGAGTAGTTTTCTCGAGAAGTATTTCTTGCAGGAATGTTGGGGAGAAGCACAGCAGGAGGTTTTATGCCATGTTTAAGCCATGCAACTTTGGTGGCCCATGTTTTCCACTGGAAGAAAGAGACGAAAATGTCAGCATGGATGTCAAAATATGGTACGGAACTGTGCTTGTGCTCACATCATCGAGTTGTTTTTCCAGCTCCTCGATTTTGTTTCTGTAATTCTGTTCGCGTCTTTTAAGTCCATCAAGCTCCTCGTCCTGCGTTTGAATTCTTTCGTCCTGGTCCCTACTCCATCCGCGATAATGAGTGACATGAGTGGATGCATTTGTTTCGCCGCACCATGAGTTTGTCTTGATACAATTTGAACATTCTGTGTCCTTGTCACTGTTGCATCTCGACTTGAATAGCTATTGTTTGGCAAGTCAGTAGGACAACGATAATAAAATGGCGTCTAGATGCAGCAGGACGGAAATGAACTGGGTTATTTATGAATGAATGAGATGCGGGCTCGATCAGCGCACTTACTCTGCAGTAATCACAAGCTGTAGGCGCTCTTGTGAGAGGCTCACGCTTTTTGAATTGTTTGTCGTCAGGGGCCCCATCTGGGTATTTTTCTTTTGGGTATTCTTCTTTCAGCGCTTTCTCGTGCTTCTCCTTTGCCGCTACCCATTCGGCCATCATTTTATTTTTTCTTTTATGGTGATTAGTGAGGTATGCATCTCTCCAATCTAATTTACCTCTATTTTGCGTAGGTTCATGATTTTTCCGAGCTTTTTTCTTTGGTGGCTTCCGCACATTTTGATGAGCTGTAGCATCTTCCAATTCTTGCGTGGCCTCCAACACAGCCCTTGAGGGATCGGTAGCTTCCAAGGCAGTGGTTATAGGGGCATCGCGATCTTCAAGTGGAGGTCTGGTTGTTGAGATTTCCTCAGGAACAGCTGTAGCAGAAGGTATCTCAGCAGTCTCGACCTGCTGCGAGATTGTCTGTTCGACAAGTTCGGGGTTTGGGGGGCTAAGCTGTATATTTTCGAAGAGCAACGCATCGTCAACAGTATCTCCAGCATTGGGCATCAACAGCTCGTCGTCGTAGCCCTCAAGGGCAGCCTCATCAAATCTCCGTTTGTTAGACATTTCAATTGGTGGGCAGTCCCAATTCGAACAGGTTATGGGACAGTAACTGAGAACTATCGGCACTTGGAAGTGTCTAATGCTCAGAGCTGGTGGAAGATGCAGGCAGCTTAAGTACAGGTGCCAGGGGGTACTATAGGTAAGGGCAATACATGTTGTACACAGGATATTACCGTATATTTATGTTGATCTCTGGGGATTTCGGTCCCGCCTTTCTCGGTGAGGATTCCATTATCAAGGTATTCCAAGGGACAAGGACAAACAGTATACAATGAACCGTACAATGCCATACAAGGCTTTCGCTGCGGAGGGCAATTATAGTGAAATCAATGACCTTCATGCAGTCGCAAGATTTGAATGCCATTGTTAGGCATGGGCCATTTGAGTAGGAGGTGGAACGTATGCGCAAGAGTACGGTTCAAAGGCATTGTAGGATAATCTGAAACTGTACATTGCTGTATTTTGTCAACGGATGGTTCGGTCTTCCACAGGGTGAAAGGAGCCAAGGCCTCTCTTACCGCATTCAATAGTAGCGTCCGATGGCCCTTTGTTGCTGTACAAAGCAGTCTTTCGCAAAGAGAGGAAAAACCTGATTGATGGAACATAGAAAGGTCGGTCATTGCAAAACTATGGGGATCTTCGTATCCTTAAGAAGTCTGCGGTTGCGTATAGTTGATCGATGTGGTGAATAAGCGGCGGTTCTATTCGGATAGGCAGGTATATCCAATGATTCCAAGAGAGAACAGAAGTAAGAGATATGATGAAACGGGAAAATGGCGAAGACGATTCTAAGGTACATACAGAGACGTTCCAAGAAAAAACCAGAAATTGAGCAGCTCCAACATGCAATGTAAAACCAAGCCGATCCTGGAGCAAATTATGCTGCCAAATACTCTCTCTTCAGAGTAAAACTCCTGCCATGCCCATATAACGTCAACAGAAATCGTGAAAAACATCCCGATCGAGAACAATGACACAAGAGTGGACGAAACGAAGCGAGACGAATGCGCCCTGCACCAGCGCACTTCAAGAGACCCATGACGGTCATCAATCATGATAAGGCAAGAAACTGAAGGCCTTGAAGATGAAAAACAACTCCTGGGAACAGAACACCAAGGTAGACCAAGCGAATGCGACATGAAAGAAGAATATAACGAAAGAAAAGGTAAATATTAAACAATAAGTTTTCGGATATGGGAGATGATATAGGGGCCAACTAGTTGCAAAGTGACACCGGCCGACAAGGCCATATTTGCGCAGCAACAAGCGATGTGGAACCCATACGGATGGGCTAGAATAGTGCAGAAGTCATCGAAATACTTTACCATTTTGAGCCACTGTCTCAAAACTAATTCTGTTCTGATATTTCGAATGTCCGCCATCTTCGAGCCAGGGTGTGAGATTCTTGCACTGGCTGACATCAAATGACTCCAACTGGTTACAGCCGTCAGCCACTGCCTCTACCCCCGCGCCCGTGACTCGAACGCAGCCACGAACTGATAGTCGATTCAGGTGCAAGAGATGAAGGCCAATGCTGCGCAGGGAAGGTCGGAGATTGCAGAACCACAGAAGGACATATTCAAATAAGTCAACTGAGAACACTGAAGAGCAAGGACCTCTGTTGCTGTATCTGATAATGCGCAACAAAACGACTGTTCAAAGGTTAGTGGATGTTTATATCTCTTTGCGATAACCTCGAGGAAAGTTGGAACCCGACGCCTTACCAGATCCAATTCCTGTAGCTGCTTAGCAGCATTAGTCAAATAGACAATCGCTTGGTCGGTCAAATAAGTGCAGTCGGCCAAACAAAGCTTCCGCAGATTGGTGAATCGCACATTCCCCCAATACTGAAATCCTTGATCCGTGATGGAGGTACAGCGCGTCAGGTCCATTTGTTCAATCCTGTGAGCAGCATGGGACGCAATATGGTGCATCGACCGGTCGGTGACGTGTTTGCAGTATGACAGCGTCAATTTCGTCAGCTTGGGGCAGCCGAACACAGCACCAGCTGCGGTTTGCATGGTGGGCTTAAGAACCCCTTTACTCGTCTTCACAGGCTCATCTTTGTGTTGTCCAGGCATGACCCAACCAATAATCCGAGCCAAGAGTGTGTCCCCGACTTTCCGGCAGTTGCTCAAGTCCACCTCTTGTAATCCATTTGCCGTGCTCGCCATGTCAAGGATGGCGGATGCAGTGACGTCCCAAACACTTTTCATCTTCCACGCGACGACATTGGAACCGCATGTGGCAGCCAATTTATTGAATCCCTCATCGGTGATGTGAAAGCAATTGCTAATATCAACATAGCGGGGCCTATTCCCAACGAATGGACATATGATTTTCACTAACACGTCATCGGTTATTTGTCGATTATACATGCTTAGGTCCAGATCATGCAGCAAATCTGTGGATGTATTGATGATCTCTGACCAATGAAGGGAGACCGCTCGTACTCGGAAAAGATGATGAAGTTCTAGATGGTTGAAAATTCTCACCAAGATATTATCAGGAAGAACGCCGCGGTTCACTTTGTGCGACTCGCGCTGCGTTTTTAGGGTTGTCGATACAGCGGCCTCAGGCAGTGTGAGGAACGACGAGCTTGTCGAGCGTGGTTCAGATGGTGACGGCCGTTGTTGTTCCCCAGAGACCTCCTCTGGTGTCAACGGAGCGACGGATCCGCGTCTACTTTTCAGTCGGACCTTGTCTAAGCCGACATTGAGAAATGGATCTGGGTCCGAGGGACGTAATACGGCTTGGTCGTCCGCCTTGTTGGTGTGCGGACCATCCAGTTCTGTTTCCGTGAGTGTGAGGAGGGGCATCGACCGGCGTCGCGATGCGCTGATTTTAAAGTTGCTATCTCCAACAAATTGTCCAACGTCATCCGCTTCAGACATTACAACATCACCATCGGCTGCCGATTGCAGCCGCTCTTTCGCAGTTTTCTCCACCTGTTGCCGAACATCCTGGGGGCACTTCTCCCAAAACTCGGCAAGGACATCACCGCTAATCATAAGGCACTCGACCGCGTTGATAGTACGCACCGTTGCAGTCCTGCGTGGCGCCAGAGAAAGACTTACAACCTCGCCAAAGTACTGTCCCGCTTTTAGCCGCGCTTTTACTTCAAAGCCTGGGTGTTCAATGGTGTTCGGCACGGAGTGTGAGCCATCCTCTGAGTGTGTACGTTCAGTCAATACTTCAACTTCGCCGCGAACGATAAAGTAGATCTCCCGCCCTTGGGAGTCCTGCTTGATAATGTCTGTGAAAGGAGGATATGACCGGGGTTGGGCGTTAAGGCCTAAGAAATGAAGGATTTCCCCTGGAAGACCGGCGAACAGAGGTAGTTCCTTGAGTAAAAGACGCACATTAACAAGCCCGTTAGCGAGTGCGCTAGAAGCAACTCCATCCGCTAATCCAGGACTGGGGGATTTGCGTTTCTTGTTGACTGACTTCCATTTTAACGCCGTGCCCTCTTGCTCCGCAAGAGACATGTCTTTAGAAAAGGTTTCTCTCAGCCGTTTGTTTCCTCTGCGAGATACAATATCATCCACTGGAGGCGCGGATGTCTCCTTCTTCTTCTTTTCCAAGAGCATCAGTCTTTCTTGAGCTTCATCTCGGATGGCTTGCTCCACATCTGGGAAGTGAGGAAGGATATTTCTGAAGTCTTCCTTCGTTAAGACGATCAGCAGACATCTGGAGCGAGCGATAATGGTAGCGGTCCGCGGGCGATCCATCAGCACGCCTATTTCGCCAAAGAATGCGCCTGGTTCAAGATCTACATATACACTCTCGCCATCGCGGGAAGTAACGGAAACTGCGCCCCGGACCAGCCAATATATGGCCTTGGCCTCGTCCCCTTCCGTCAAGATATAATCATTGGCCTGATGAAGTTGGGGGCGCAGATGCTGTCCCACCGCATTCAAAAAGGACTCCGGAGTAGATTGGAACAATGGGAAAGAGCGCAATCGGTCGACCAGATCCAGCGGGAGAGCTTGAATATGTGAGAAGGCCAAGGGAGAAGGGCGGACCGGGCGATTGGGATTCATGACCGAGTCGAATGAATGAATTAACGAGACCGTATCAGACACCGGCGCGAGGGCTTTGGTCGAGCCTCCGCCGGACCTGCCATGGCGCCGCATGATGAACTAGTTGCGTTCCTCGCAGAAGCGTCAAACAGAATGGGTAATGGAGAGATGAAAAGGTTCGGGAGTTTCCAGAGGTAGCATATAGTGTATTTTTTTTTTCGGGAAAGCAAATCCACGGACCGATGACGTCGACGAGAATTGGGGGGATCACGGGAGAGCTTCAGAATGGCATCTTCGGTCCACGGGGAGGGCGGGGAGGAAAAGAACGGAACCGTTTCGTCGTTTTGGGAGGGTTAAAGAGAGCCAAATGAATTATCCGAGACCCCGGGGAGTTTGAGACGACAATAGGACGCAAGCCGAGAGTCCAAGGAATTTCTGGAAAAGTAGCTAAAAGAGCACATAATGGTTAGAGAGCACAACCCACAGACCAGACAGAGAGCTTTCCGCCGAATACTAATTCATGAAAGCGGGGAATGGGATCACCGAATAAATGCTATGGTTGAGCTCCACCGCGAACTTGGAACTTTCCGCCTGCCAGCAAAAAACTAACCAACTCGAGCCAAGTGGTGCCCGCCTTATCATTTGGGATTCCCTCCGCTCTTTTACGTGCTCTTGTGTTGCACCCACTGCGGTTTAGTGAGGATTCACCAGAAAAAAAAAAGAGGAGCCAAAAATTTATACCGATATTGATAGAACCCAAGAAAGAGAAAGAAAGAAGGCTGGTGTTTTTCTTTTGCTTAGCAAAAGCCCAGAACATATAGAATTGTGTCTCCAGTCAGCGGAGAAGGGAGGTGTCGTGGTAGGGAAAAGTAAAGCCGGAACACATACATTTACGCGACGAAAGTTGAGCTGTGTTAGTGGGGGGTTTTCACCACTGAAACTGATCCGCAATTATTCAGAGCATGGAGTTTCATGACAAATCACCAGAATATCACAGTATTCCTGCGGCTTATGCCCTCTCAATTGCAGACACCGAGAGGTAGTTAGTCTGATGTACGAAGTACCCAGCTAACTACTAGTATAAGAGAAGAAAACTGGATGAAGGGGAGGTAGGAGAGAACTGCGGGATTTTGGGTAAGTACCTTTATTAAACTTCAGCTGTAGGGAACAGGGAACTACCTACCACGGAGAGGTACAGTCTACAGGTGTTGGTTGGGGCCAGTGAGAATAAATGTATCCTGACGATCGTCACCCAACCCACAAGACTCATTGGACCATTTACTTATGCGGCTTTACATCGATTGAACAGCAGTTTGCTTGCTTTGTTTCCTGCATTAAAAGCATGCATTGCAAAGAAGTTGTGGGAGGGTCTTACACAATCCCTACCACCTACGGGGCCTCTTATAAGTTCTGAAAATTAGAATCTGGTAAGCCTTGAGGTAATTGGGTACAACAATTTATGCATCTCTACTACTACACATTTCTCTGCCCATTTAATTCCTTTTCCTTGCTGTTTTCTCTACCAGTATGTATTCAAAAAGGGACACCTTCGCAAAAGTGACCTTTCGTCTTCCATAAGCTAACGACATATGTTTCCTCGACTCGATATGACGGGGGCAGCGCAAAGGTGACATCCCATACAATTTGTCACTGATACCTGAGGCAACAAAAGACCTTTTACTATTGGCGGTGATTGGTGCACCACTCTCCTCGATTAGTAGCTTCCACGCATTTACCTAAGGTACCAGGTAGTAGGTAAAGTACCTAAGCTAAGTCTGTCAGAAAAAAAATTCTGACGTTGGAATTTAAGACCTGCTTTTCCCGTTTTCACTGTATCGCTGTTACAACAGTCAATGCATGAATAAAGCCTCATCGCTATGTCACTAAAAATTCGGTTCGAAGGGTTGGCTATCTCACGGAGCGGCAGTCACTATCTCTGGCCAGGTGAAAGCTAGGTGCGTATAGGGAGGAGTGGAGAGTGTTCCGTTGGGTCGGTGCGAGGAGGCGGCGCTTGACCCAAAAGACCTTGCCGATTCGGAATCATCGCTTACAGCAGGGTTCCATGCGGCTGTGGCCCGTTGGTAAACGGGGAGCACGCCGGTGTGCATCAGATCCTGTCGACTCTAGACCAGTTAGAGTTAAGATGTCGGTACAAGAATCACGACTCCTTGGCCAAATAGGTCGAATAGGTCGAATCTTCATTCCGTCTTCGATCGGCGGTTTCCCAGAAGGAAATTAACGTAAGCAGGTCGATTTCCCTTCAAAGATTCTAGAGCGTCCTGCATAAGGCCGTACACCAGACTCAGCTTCAGCCCAAGTTTTGTCGTGCGAGCAGCAGTGTAAACATCGTGACGAGCTAAACACAGACGGTGTTTAGTACTTGCTTCTGGGTCAATTTGCATCATCGACAAGAAACGAACCTAATAAACTGTAGATGCCAGAGAATGATAACCCAGCTGTCACTGTAGACAGGAAGTCTCTCCGGTCATGCCGGGCATAATCCACTGTTTCTTCGAATAGACAGAACGCAAGCGCACCGAAGCCTAGTTTTAATCCCATTTTCATTCCCTCTTTGACTCCCCCAACGATTGCCGTGTAGTTCTTCGTTTTGTGGTATTGGAACCATCCGGTCGATGTCGTGGGAAAGCGATGAGCGTTTTCGGCACGGAAGCGATATGCTGACTTTTTACTTCCATGAGACGATCCAATGACCATACCAACTGAAAATGCCGACATGGCAGTGTAAGGCAGACGTCTTCCGACTTCAATTCCAAGTCTGGGGGGTGCATCGGATTCAAAGAGCTTATCCCAGTGGAGTATCTCCATCAATGTTGAGCCTCGAGGGTGTGCGTCTGACGATTGGTGGGAGTCCATGGTGACAAATGGACTTGATAAGAGTTTGTACTGTAACTATTAGTTGGGGATAGTACAAAGTTTCGAGCAGATAACGCGTTATTTAAATCTCAGTGAAGCTGATTTCTCTGTGACAAACAATGCTTAGCTACTGCCTTGTACGTATTGACTTTCCTGTTCTGTTTTCGGTCCGACTTGGCGCCGTCCTTCTTTGCTTGGACCGTTGCTTAGGTAAGGATAGCTCTCTGTGTACTACCAAACAAAAATAAAAGTTGTATATCCAGATCGAAACTCGAGTGCTGCAATCAGTCATTCTGGATAATATCTTCATTTCCTGTAACCTATGTTTTGCAAGAAGGCTGTTTAGTGTAAGATCATTGCAATAACTACTGTATGATTCTGGTCTGGCGGACAACTCTGGATAAGTAATTTGCTTACATTCTGAAGCGTACAGAATAATTTACTTATTGAGGATGCTTGAGGGGATATAGAATAGATTACAGTCAAAACAAGAAGAATGGGGGGGGGGGGGAAAGAATAATGTTAAGTTATATACTTTTTAGACTGAAGCACAACGGATATCCTTTTCCTTGTTTGCGCTCATCTGAAGTAAAAACATCATATGCTCAAACCCAACCGAAAATAAATAGTATATATGTACGCATGTTACGTGGAGTGTAGTTTACTCCGTACTATCGTCGCTAGTAAGCAACACCAGCCAAGAAAACCCCAATAAGTATCCTAATAAACTCTTCCAATCCTCTCTGTGGTCCTAAATATATGAAAGGCTCACACCACTTGAAAAGCGGGGTATCAGGGTCTCGTTCCGAACAAGAAGTTTAGAACATCGATGTATAGCTGTTTTACAGAGTACAGGCTCATTACCTGATGCTAAGCCTACCAATCTGTTCCTGGCAAATGAACCATCAGGGTGTCAGTGTTCAGAGACACTCAAGGACGGTCACGTGATATCAATAAAGGCAACGGCGCCCGTACCGGGAAACCAAAGAGGTTAAGTTCTGAATGTACCTTTATCCTTTTCTTTGGAAATCGAGCGTGGGGTTGCGCTATTTATAAATTAAACGATTCAGCAGGCAACTCAAGGTCTGAGGGGAAAAGGACTTCTGGGGACCTACTAAATTTATCGATTGACAACCAACACAAAATTACATCATGGTAAGCTTGACCCCATAACTTGCTGTCCGTGCGTGAAGGGTGAACACGATTTCGCTGACTTTGTATGGTACTATAGTCACAGTCTGATCCTCTCAGTTGGACGCTGCTGTTCAAAAAGCACAAGATGACCGTACTCTTGATGCTCCCACCTTCCGCAACGATCCCAACCGCCCAAGCCACACTCCTCCGAGCCCTTCAAACACGCGGTCTAACAGAAATTAATGGTGATCCGATACCAGAAAACTCATCGGATATTGAATTTGGTATCGCAGTAGACAGAAATGATCTGGGGAAGGGTTGGACTAAGCTAGAGTTTCAAACGCCGCAATTTGATGAAGATGAAGCACCAAAACGAGGGGCGGGGAGGAGATCAACAGCTCCTCTGAGCTTACAAGCGGCTGAAATTAGAAATGGACAATCGGTTGCTTTCAGGTTCCGGAAGCGCGGGGAGGAAACTGAGACGACTGATGAGCTGATTGACCTCGAACTAGAGGATCCTGGCTGGGATGTTGTTCTTCCTAGTCTCGATGATGAAGAGGAGGAAAGTTGAAGTAGATCACACATTTCTCTATCTTGATGAGTATCTTGTTTTGGTTGGATTTTCTTAACTTTATGGTTTTGGCGCAGGGCTGGGGCGAGGTGCTGTTAGATGGCGTTCATGATCTTTTACCGAGTGTTTGAGAATATACATTGACGACTTGACATGTACCCTTACAATCATCTGTATACAAGTAGTCAGAAGAGGCTTTCGTGGTGAGTAGCTTGTAGCCCTTGTTTGTAGCGATCTAAATTGCTTTCCTAGTGTGTAGTCCTGCGTAGATCAGGTTGTCCTAAAGGGTTTCATCTATCTACTTCCTAATAAGCGTGGAATAACAGTCTTTCGAAGCCATGTTGGTGTGCTATAATACACGGTTGGATCGCCGTTTCTAGTCGACTAGAAAACAATCAATACCTAGCCCTGAGGTATTGACAAGGTACCTCAGAAGAGAAACCAAGCACTAAAAATAGATCAAATAAGAAAATTATCCATGTGACAAGCGTCATCTGATTAGAAAAGTAATCTAGGGCTCTTTGATAGACTACTACCCATGCTTGATCAAACAGAGTTGTACCATGAAATTGATTAGAATTGAGCGGCATCATAGATTGCAAGGGATAGCTCCCACTAAGATCGGACCAATCAGGATTAAAAATGTGCGTTGTGTTAGGAAGCTTGATGTGTGGTGTTAGTGAGTTATCGCAGGAAAGTGCCAGAATTTTCCATGGTTCTGGGTTAAGGCCAAGCAGCACAGACATGCTATGAGCACGCACTAGCGGTCGTCAGGGGCAACGGTGAGTTGACACAACAAGCCCCCGTGTCAACAGACCCTCAAGTGGCTTGAAGCTCACACTAGCTCCTCAGCGTAACTCAACAGGGGAAATTCTGGGGCTGCCACGAAATAGGTCCACAGTCAACATTCTTCGTCGGTGAGCTCGTTCTTCAGTTTCATCTCTTCGTCGCCTCATCGTTGTTTCGACACGCCGTCGGTGTAGGGCGTCGCTGGATATTTCGATAAACTGCCCTCCCTGCGCCGATTATCTCGTCCCGAGACTCACTTTCCGCCTGGAGGGAGGTTGTACCTCTTTCATTTCGATAAACAACAATATGGCGATCCCAAGCGACGCTTCATCTATCACCGTTGCAGTCAGAGTGAGGCCTTTCACAATCAGGGAGGCGGCACAGATTTCAAAATGTGAAGATGGGCCCCTCTTCCTTGGAGATGGCTCGTTGGCTGGAGCGCCAACACCAAAACTCAATCAGAAGGGAATTCGATCGATTATCAAGGTTATCGATGATAGGTGCCTGTGAGTGCAGTACCAATATGTCTACGTTCCTTTGACAACAACAATTGACCGAGTTCTCTCAGAGTCTTCGACCCTCCGGAAGACAACCCCGTACAGAAGTTCTCGAAAAGTGTCGTCCCCAACGGCAAGCGCGTTAAAGACCAGACATTCGCTTTCGACCGTATCTTTGACCAGAATGCCTCCCAAGGAGAGGTGTATGAAGCGACAACACGCACGCTTCTTGACAGCGTTCTTGATGGATACAACGCCACAGTCTTCGCATATGGTGCGACCGGATGTGGAAAAACCCATACAATTACGGGAACGGCCCAGCAACCTGGTATAATTTTTATGACTATGCAAGAGCTGTTTGAGCGTATCGACGAAAGATCGGGAGAGAAGGCGACAGAAATTTCTCTCTCGTACCTAGAAATCTACAATGAAACTATCCGTGACCTCCTCGTCCCTGGTGGCAGTAAAGGAGGCTTGATGCTGCGGGAAGACTCAAATAAATCGGTTTCAGTGTCCGGCCTGTCCAGTCATCACCCCCAAAGTGTACAGCAGGTGATGGACATGATTATGAAGGGTAACGAGTGTCGCACGATGTCCCCGACAGAAGCCAACGCAACCTCTTCACGGTCACATGCAGTTCTTCAAATCAATGTTGCCCAAAAGGATCGCAACGCAGATGTCAATGAACCTCACACAATGGCAACGCTGAGTATCATTGATCTTGCTGGTAGTGAGCGTGCCAGTGCCACAAAGAACAGAGGTGAGAGGTTGTTCGAGGGTGCGAATATTAACAAATCGCTCCTTGCATTGGGTAGCTGTATCAACGCCCTCTGTGACCCTCGGAAGCGAAACCATGTTCCATACAGAAATTCGAAACTTACTCGGCTCTTGAAGTTTGCATTGGGCGGCAATTGCAAAACAGTGATGATTGTCTGTGTTAGCCCATCCAGCCAGCATTTCGATGAGACCCAGAACACCTTACGTTATGCCAACAGAGCGAAGAATATCCAAACTAAAGTTACAAGGAATGTATTCAATGTCAACCGTCATGTTAAGGACTTCCTGGTGAAGATCGACGAACAAATGAATCTGATTAACGAACTTAAAGCTCAACAGAAGGACCACGAGAGAATCGCCTTTGCAAAGTTCAAGAAGCAGACTGAGAAGAAAGACGCAGTGGTCCGCGAAGGAATCTCTCGTATCCGGAATGCTTATGAACACTCATTGCCTGAGAGGCAGGAAAGGACCGCCAACATGATCAAATCAAGACAAATTAGCCGCAGGATCGGTATGCTGTCTTCGTGGATTGCTGCTTTTGACAGTGTATGTGCAAATTCCGAGCATGAGGAGCCCTTAACGAATCTCCAAGCCATTCGCAAAACGGCACAAGGTGTTCTCCTTGAGTTGGAAAGTAGTAGACAGCACTACCACCAACGACTGTCTAGGAGCACTTGGGACAGAGGTATAAACTCAGCAGTTGAGCACGCCGTTCGTCAACTCCAGGACTTTGGAATCAACGATAATAGTGACCTTGCCAACCTTCATCGCGAAGCAGAGCTCCTGAAATCAAACACAGAGCGGGATGCATTTTCGGCAGTAGCAGAACAGGAGAAAGGGGGGGAAGCTGAAACCGTACAGCTGTTGCTCCAAGCTCAATTTGAGGCCATATCTGCAATTGAGGATATTATGCAAATGAGTGAAGAGGAAGCCGTTGAGACGGGCAAGAATATCCTTTCCAAGATGCTCGACTCCTGCTCGACTGTAACATCTAGTCTTGTGAAACCAGATGGCAGCTTGCCGCCAGCTCAGACATTCAGCCCGTTCAAGGCCATGTCGCCTAAGCCGAAGAAAAGAGTGAGTCTTGCAGCACTCCCTGCTGGAAAGACTCTCGCTGCACCGATCAGTTTGGCACCGGCAGCACCTGCCTCACCCGGCAAGGGATCGCCCCGGCGCCGTCGGTTGGGTGTTGGCCGAAAGAGTGTCACATTCTCGCCCAAGAAGTCTCAGGCCAAGTCAACGAAACGAAGCGTACGTTGGAAGGATGACGAGCAAGACGGTTCTCTGGCCGAGTTTCAGAAGACACCGCAAAAGCCGCGGGCGCAACTTTTCCCCGAGGCCTCCAAGGCAGTCCCAACGAGCCCCCATTGCCTAGAACGTCACCCGTTCCGCGTGGCATTCCAGTGCCCAGTCGTAATATCAGTCCTTCGTATGGTTCTTCGCCAGTCCCTGCCCCGCCGGAGCCAACGTTGCATGTTCCAAAGAACAACCGATTCAAAGCCGGCTTCCTCTCCAAGAAAACTAGCGGCTCACCAATTGCGCCTCCTCCTTCGACCTCGCTCCCTGCCTCAGACGGTGAACATTCTCCCCTCCGCAACATCGAGAACAGCAGCTTTCTGAACCGCGCACCGATTGACCGTCCCTCTAGAATTGCGGTCCGTACTTCGAGTGGAAGCTACACCAGCAGCCCCGCATCGGATAACAAGGAAAGCTGGAAGGCAAACAAAGACGATGCCATGCGGATCAGTTCGGCGATGAGGCGCATCTCCGGTGGACATTTTGGTGCTGGTGCTTCTGCCAATTCTCTTCGGGTTCATCGTCGCCGGAGTCCGGGCTCTGCAACGTATGGCAGCTCTCCACCCGAAAACACCATGTTCACCGCGCAGGCAAGGAGAATGGCCAAGGGTGAAAAGGAGCACGAGACCAAACCAGGAGTTTTGGGGCCCCGGAATCTTCCCATTATGAAGAACACCGGACGACGGACTACTTTCGGAGGGGATATCCGGCCCCGAGACATCAGTCTCACCAGCAGGGACGCTATTCGACTCAGCGCTATGGCAACCCCCATTCTTCAAAGGCCACCCGAGAGCCTCTATTCCAACTCTGGAGCAGGATGGAGGTGACTTTAATTACTGATTCGGGATTTTTTGCATTGCATTCCGGGGGGAGTGTTTTACCAATACTTGGGAACGGTGTTTCGGAGATAGATACCATTTGCTTTTTCTTAACTTATATTTTCGACACCAACCATGAGATCCGGTATCCGGGTTTTACCGTTCTCCTCGTTCTGTTGCGCTGAGAGCTTCACCAAATGATTTGGAAATATGCTGGAGTTTCAATTTCTATTCGATGTATTTATTTTTTTTTCATTTTGTTCCTTTCTTTCCCTTCCTTTTTCCCTCTCTGTGTATGGCATATAATGTTTCCGGAACGTGTACAATATCGGATGCGACGTTTGAAAGGGTTTTTATACAAATACGAAGCCAAGACTGTTGTCTCTACCTTAATCTATTTTCGGTCTTTAATTAAATAAATTAATTAGTACGCCGCCAGTCATTATGTCATTGCGCGAAATGACGCCACTGCAGAAACTCCTCCGCAATCTGACAAATAGAGGAATGAAGTCTATTTCTTCCTCGACATAATTATTTAGTTATTTCCTTCCAGTTCCAACGACTAATTAATTACCTAGATTGTTGCTGCTAGAAAGCTAGCTGGTTAGTAGCACAATCAACGTTAAGCCTGAGAAGTTCAATTTTAAATTGACAGCTGGTGGGATACCAAAAATCACATTCTCTGCCCTCGCAATAACTTTGCCGGTGCCCCTCAGCGGAAACCTCTAGGCAAATTCATTTTGCGAAGCAAATTGACTGCCAGTGTATCACGTAAAAATCCCCAGTTGAATGGCTTTCGCCGCACCCGCGATTGGTTCGACCTTATTCTCACGAATTTTCCGTCCGTTCTCCACCAGCGCTCCGTTTCTCTCTTTAACACCTGAATCTGCATCACGCAACATGTCCAACGACACGCAAATTGCGACTCTAGCTGCTGGATGCTTCTGGGGCGTGGAGCACCTGTTCCGCAAGAATTTCGGTAATGGAAAAGGTCTCCTAGATGCGAAGGTTGGTTATTGCGGCGGATCGACGGCGTCGCCTTCGTATCGAGCTGTGTGCACCGGAGACACCGGCCGTAAGTATTGATTTCTATACTTCGCTGCAACCTATGTTCCCGAGGCTAATCAAGGATGATTCTTGCTTTGCTATATGCTAGATGCCGAAGCGGTACAGGTGACGTTTGATCCCTCCATCGTTACCTACCGTTCTCTTCTGGAATTCTTTTACCGCATGCACGACCCCACGACTCTGAACCGCCAGGGACCCGATATCGGCACTCAGTACCGTAGCGTCATCTTCACCCACGGAGACGAGCAAGAGCAGATCGCCAAGGATGTATCAGAGAAGGTTAGCCAGGAGTGGTACAAACAGCCTCTCTCCACTGTCATTGTGCCTGCCGGTCAATGGTGGGATGCGGAAGAGTACCACCAGCTCTATCTGAACAAGAATCCAGCGGGCTATGAATGTCCTGCTCAGTATGTTATAACCCGAGCTCTGATATAAGCCTCCTTTTCTTGTGAGGGGGAGTCAATGGCTAATGTTCCACGCAGCTTTGTGAGAGACTTCCCGCCTCTTTCTGCCTGACTGGAGGCGAAGATATGAAGTATGAACTTCGAGAATATGCCCGTCTTGGATGGTCTTGAGATGGTGCGGCTGGACTGGTGCCGTCACTAAGACATTTTACAAAATAACAGCATTGTAAAAAATGATCAGTTTGCCCAGCACAAACTTGTTCGTTTCTGGCATGCGTATTATTGAAGCGACCCGAGATGTGTATCATATCTCTCTCAGATATTATTCAGATGTCTCACAGAATGTGCTCATCTTATTTTCATGGTATCCTAGTTCTTCAGAGAGTTATGTAGGAAAGGGGCGTGTCTCCTACCATATGGCAATGTGTTGAATACTAAACGCAAGGACTACTACCTACAGACAACCGGATGTAGAAGGAGAGACATCATTAAGTCAGTGTTTTTTCAAAGAATGCAATACATAGTTCTAACTACCCTCGAAGCGGGTGAGGAATATGTGAAGTTCGTTATCTAGCAGGCAGTGGCTTTCCTGTTGTTGTCTTCTTTGTTTACTATGGTATCAATTCACTCATTCAAGTATGGCCTCAGCTGACAACTTCCCTCTGTCCCAATGCAGACACACCACCTTCTCTCTCTTTTCTTTCCGCCATCACTCTCTACCTCTTCCTCTCCCATCCTTTCACAGGGCATCACATTTCTTTCTTCTCCCCATCAATCCATCGCCCACTCCCTGTTTCTTCGATTGCCAGTACCAGAGTTCTCTGCAGAAGTGTTGCCTGTCAAGAATATTTGCTCGGTGTTCTGACTGTCTAATAGACTCTCGATAACAGAGCAGAGAATTTTGAGCAGAAAGGCGTTTGACGCACTCTCTGTAGCGGACTAACTGTATCTCACATCCTCCCCAATCTACCCTCTACCCGCAGCAGTTGCCTTCTTGGGATTTTTCATTGCTATCACTGCCTTTGTTTCTATACGTACCATTTTGTTACATTACCCACAGGTATTTCCTCGACGGGTGCTCAACCTGAAGGTCAGTCGACAGAGCCTTAGGGAGGCTTTGAACGGTATGAGTCTCCATCGACCTCGTTGTACCCACGCGTATCCGTCACTGATTCTGACCGCGCTGGTGAGAAGGAGCCCTCAGATACTCTTCCACAAACAGGAGTGCCTTCCAGGGCACTATCTCATCTGTTGAGGCGGTTAGTATCAGCGGCTCCGTTATACCAGGTTGGGTCTCGTTATGATGGCGGGCTACTCTGTTGAGGCAGCCATGGCTGAGGCCTTGGGTCATCTTAACCGCATCGCGTGTCATGTAAGCGTCTCTCACACCACAGATCAAATTATGGAAGCCATTACTGAGTGAATAAGTTCCGCAAGCACGAGCAGCACAGTGCTGCCAATGAGATTGGCAAATTGAGCATTATGATTGTTAATGTCTTCTCCGAAGCTGTTGAGCAGATTCCCATTAACGAGTTCGCTGATGTGGTAAGCTGCTCTATCAACATCCGGACGCAGGATTAGTCTCAGTAACAGGAGCAGGCTACAAGCTGCCAGAACACTGGGGTTAATCACAATATGATTCAGCAACAAGCTGTCGCGGCTCTCATGAACGAGGTCGAGAAGGAAAAAGACAGTATCACCTGTCAAACCAGCACCTTGCAGAACATCCCGTCTGAAGCCCAGCTCCCAACGACTGGAAGCTGGGCTCAGGTCGCTGGTTCTACCTCAAGTCATCCAGTCCATCCTCAAGGGGTGGGCCAGTTTATGACACCGTTGCCCTTGGGACCGGCCTCTCTGTCCAAGCAGAGCTCGACCAATGACGAGAATAGTAATACTCGAGTGTCAGGAATCTCAGACGTCGCGCTTTCTGCGCCCATGTTTCCAGAAATTCCAGAGGCCAAGGCAGGAGTCCTTCGTATCTATGGCAAAGCCTCCAAAGAGATCATTCAGTATCTTACTACCCGTATCCACGAGGGTCCATTGCAGGACATTCGACTTGAAACCAATGGAAGGACGCGAGTGACCTTCCAGCATGCGTCTCAGGCGCTTGCTTTCCTGAAGTCTAACCAGGAGATGGAGCAAATGCTTGGCTACGGACGTTTTGGATGCGGCTACCGCGTTGAGTTGGCTGAGATTATTGATTGGAACGACGATCATCGTCGGATGAACCAGCCCATCCGAGAGCGCCGTCGCCTGTCATTCGCGAGAAAGCGGCTCTTTGCCGACAATATGTCACCAGAGAAGTGGAAGCAGGACATCCGCACTTTAGCTGGACCAGGGAACATTGATTTCCTCTGGGTCTTCAATTCTGGTAATGGTGAGTTCGTGGCACAAAAACCGATAGGCCAAATCCCAGCTAATCAGTGGTAGCAACGGCTGTCTTCACGAGCACAACTGTTGCTCGCAAGGTTTTGGAAGTGTTTAACCGATGGAAAGACGGCCGAAACGTTTACAGTGGGGTTTCCGTGACCTACTCGTCGGATCCATGCGAGAAAGAGTTAGTTTTGGTCAAAGACACCGCTCGCCCCAACATTGCCAAGAATTTTGTGAAAAGACCCATTCGATAGATCCAGGGCTGCCGTTGAACGGATGGGCAATGCTTCGACCCCGTTTCATCCCAACTGCTTTAAAATGACATCACATCAAGTCAAACGCATGGGGAATTTCAAAGGACGGAGAATTTCAAAGTCTTTTTGTTTTATTTTATTTTATTTATTTATTTATTATTATTTTTTTTAAAAAAAGAAAGAAATGGGAAAAAAAAATAATTAAGGTAAGGAAAGCAAAGGGTAAACTGTTTGCGGGGAGTTGGAGTTTTGTGGAATGTTGCGCAGGCGATTCGAGCAACGTGGGAAAGGTACCACCCGATCTGAGCCATAGGAATGGAATGGAAGCACGAGTGGGATTGATTATACGCATGTACGGAAATATCAGGTTGTTTGAGATGGTCTCCTGTGGACGGGTTTGTTTTGGCCACTTGTGGTCCGACTGACCCTACACGCAAGCAAGGCTGGTCTCCGCGCAACTCACCATAAGGATGATTTGCAAGTCGAACCTTCTGCCTTGAGCAGCGTCTGCTGTGGTTTGTCGACAGTTCAGAACATGCTGGTAGGGAAACAGTCAACCAAGGGTGGAGACTGCCAGAGAGATATCAACAATGGCATTCGGAGGCCGCGGGCAGATACTCGAGTAAAGATAGCTCATAGAAACCAAATACCAGTCTGTATTACTGATGTGATATGAGCCTTCACCGTCGTTTGGATTAGTCCCAGTGCGTCGTCATCTGAAAGATCCTCCTACTCAAACAAGTGACATGGTCTCATGTGTACACGGGACAGGTGCCCCTTGCAGCAGCGATCATGATTGCTGATATGGACCGAAAACGGCATTGATGCCAGGGGAACGCGATCAGATAAATCACAAAATTTCGTTATTTGTTTATTTATTCGGAAATTGCTGGAAAGGGCAAACCAGCAT